TTAATTACAATAAGATAATAAAAGGATTGGAAAAGGATAGTCAACGCAGTCAATAAAGTTCAGTTTTAATTTGAAAATTTTAATAAATAATCAAAATATTCAATTTAAATCACTACTGAATTTAAGTTATAAGTCCATATGTAATTAGCACTTGTAAGTAGCTAAAACACGTTGTGTCTATATAGAAACTAGAAACATGTGGATAAATATTATAAATATGAAAACAGTGATCAGAGGCGACGAGCGTGCCAACATTGTTTTTGACAACGCGATCATCTTATGGAGCTCCGTGGATCGTTCAAAGTACCTTTCGAACAGATGTCTAATAATGGTGGATTATTAGACACTAACATTCATAACGCGCCCGCGGCCAACTTCATGGTGTTACTATTGTGTTACAGTGATGCGCGCGCAATCTCGAAATTTCTCTCACATGATTTTTTCATAACGCGCCCGCGGCTAACTTCATTATGTTACTTTTGTGTTACAGTGATGCGCGCGCATCTTAAAATTTCACTCTCATAATTTTTTCATAACGCGGCTAAAGAAGTATAACTTCAAAAGTATAAAAAATCTCAGCTGACCCTTTCAAAAATGAATTTGACCTGCTGAAAAAGAAAAGGATTCGAAATTTGAATAGAATGATGTTTATTTTTTTCAGAGCCCGCCATCTGCGGAGCGCCGCCGTGCGATTTGGTGCCACAGACTAGAAAGTACAGTCGTTATGCAAAGTACACACTGGCTTATGTGTTTTTGAATAACCGCGCGGAGAATAGATAAAATAACGAAGGGTGGTTATTCGAGTATTTAAATTTGCATACGCGTTTGTTTATGGAAGCGGTAAAGCTTGTAGGAGGAACAACATTACTTTGTTTTGTTATTGATGGTTTTTGTTCTTGTTACTTTCGAAAATGTAATATATTTTTTTTTAATTTGCACTAACCCTTTGTAGAAATCTAATATTTTATCGACAATTTAGTTTTTACAATGTTTTAAATCAATGATGTTATAAGTCACATCTATACTTATAATAAATCTGTAGAGATGTCAATTCTGTACATGAAATATATTTTTAAAATAACTATCAGGGGGTGATCAGTGATCGCTACTGATGCCAAAAATGCAATCAGTAAATTTTTTGTCTGTCTGTCTGTCTGTGTGTATGTTCCTTATAGAAACAAAAACTACTGGACGGATTTTAACGAAACTTGGTACAATTATTCTTCATACTCCTGGGCAGGTTATAGTATACTTTTCATGACGCTACAATCAATAGGAGCAGAGTAGTGAAGGGAAATGTTGGGGAAACGGGAGAAGTTACTCCATTTTTTAAGCTTCCGTCGCGTGTGCAGCCTTTATGGTTAAAGTTACATAGAAATCATGTATGACGGAAATATTCTACATAAAATTGTCTAAAAAATATCCTGCAACAGCATATGTCTATCTTTTATGGTTGACTCACAATAACACGTGTAACTCACGATAGCTTAGCAGTTCGGAGCATTCAGATCATATTTGTTTACTCTTACGTTTATAATACTCTGACTCATCCCTAATTTAAAATAGTTAACATTATAACCTATTCATTAAAAAAAACATAGAAATCAGTATAGAAACACCAAAGTTATACATGAAATAAGCCATCGCGCCGTCGCACGTGAATACTGAATCATGTCATAAGGATTATTTTTGTGTAACGGTTGCCGCGCTCGACACTGGTCGCGGCGGCAGTAGGGTATCAAAAGGCGGGAGGTCCGAGAGCGAGCTGTCTAAATCTGTTTTCTGCGTCGCTCCCCCCCCCCTGGGGGACGATCGCTTCCGATGAAGCATTAGAGGCCTTCCCGGCCAGAGGCAGCCCCTACGGGTGTTTTTTAGTCAGTACGAGTCTGACATAACCTTGCAGCCGGCTGTAGGGTATCCATGAGGATTTCTCACCTGCTTCCCCGTCTGGGAGGAAACAAAAAAAATAAAAAAAAGAGAGCGAGCGAGCTTCAATATTTGGCTGTTGATGCGTTCAGAGCGTTCGACCTTATTGACAGACAATAATTGATATTCAGAGAAACCGTGCTTATCAGCGCGACTTTTAGTCTTTAAATAGTTTATTTGAATTTCTTTTGTTGTTATTTTGTAAAATAGGTATTAGTTGTTTTGGTAGTGTTTAAATATTCGATCAAAGTGTAATTTAATCATATGGGATGAATGTACGATGGCCCATCGAAAAGGAGTAGAAGTGGTAGACAGAACTTTAAGGGTTATAAGACAAAATCATCGACCAATGGGCGGTATCACAGTTTTATTTTGTGGTGATTTCCGACAAACCTTACCGGTAATACCACGGGGAACCCGAGCTGATGAGGTTAGGGCTTGCCTGAAAAGCTCTTATTTGTGGCGTGATATACAATCGGTGCATTTGACTATCAACATGCGAGTAAGAACTGTAGATAACCCGGATGATCGTGAATTTTCTGATATATTATTAAAGAAAATACCTACACCAAAGATACCTATCCACTGCTACACCAAGGAAAACTTATTCTGACGCCTGAGTTATGTTGTATAGTGCAATCCCAACAACATCTTATATCGTCAGTTTACGGTGACGTAACAAATATATTAAATAAGGACAATTCTTGGCTATGCGAAAGGTCCATTTTAACTCCTCGCAATGAACAGGGATTCTGAGATTAATAATAAAATACTGTCGAATATCCAGGGGGAAAACAAAGTTTATAGTTCAATAAATAGAATGGCCGATGAACAAGAAGCCACTAATTACCCGATAGAACTTTTAAATTCTTTAAATATGCCCGGACTTACTTCTCATGAAATTTGTTTAAAAATTGGCATTCCGATTATTCTGCTCCGAAATTTAAGACCACCACAACTTTGCAATGGAACTCGGCTTAAAGTAACCCAGTTGCAACAAAATGTAATCGAGGCTCAAATTTTAACAGGTTGCGGTGCAGGAGAAACCATCTTTATTCCCAGAATTCCCATAATACCAAATAATTTTCTCGGGTTAGCAGTTCTAGAAATCTTTATGTTCACATGCCGGACGGGTCAACTTTCAACGTAGTTTACCCGGAAGCTTTACGCTGAAGTATTTTCATTCTATATGTACTTAAGCCTCATGTGAAAGTGATCTAAACAATATTACCAATACATTAACACAATAACATACAAAGAGTTACACGCTGATGGTCTCGGGGCACAGTGATAATAATAATATTCTGCGGTTCCTTATTGCGATATTTTTAACAGTATTGTGGATTGACATATTATATTTCCCTACTAAAATACGAAAGTTAATCAGTCTGTCACATCAAAACCACGGAACCCTGAGGAAGGACATATGCTACTTTTTTACGAAAGACGACGAAAACGCGGACGAAGTCGCGGGCAAAAGCTAGTTAATTAATAAGACGTAACTTACTTTCAATATGCATTGATCAGTAAAATTACGTTATACTTAATTTTCGTATAGATATTTAAAAATCTTCAATACTGATAAACTGGAGGGGTTCAAAATTCAAAATTCAAACTCATTTATTCAGTCTAGGCTGTTACAAGCTCTTGTGAAAGTCAAACGCTACGCCATCGGTTGGATTTAGAAACAAGTCGCCTGAATTTAAGGCTACTGAATATGTAAGGAGTTAAAGTAATATCGTTTTTGACTCCCTAAAGTAACTTTGGTTGCCGAAGTTTCGTATAAATATTTTGAAACTATTTTCAATAATTCGTAAAATATAATTGTAAATGAGTGGAACGGAACGTAATTTTAATATTGGTTTTGTATAATTGTTGTCTTTAAAGCAAAATATTAAACAAACACGTGAAACGAAACGCAAACCACCATTTTGAATGTAGATTTTGACAGATACGTTGTGCGTCGTTGCTTTAGAGTTTTCGTGAATGTGCTCCCGTGTTATAATTTGTGATATTTTAACGGTTTGTCTACGTTTTTCAGTGTGTGACATCGCGGCTAAACTGTACTTCCAGGGCGCAAGTGGTGATACATCACACTAGGTTAGGTTAGTGTTGTGACCATACCACGCGAGCCAAGAGAGCGAGACGAGAGCCACGTATCCACTAGAGGCAGCCTCGGGCGGCTGCCTCACTCCGAGGCTGTGCAAGTGGAGACGCTGCCTCAACCTGAGGCACGCCGCGACGCGAGGCAAATGCGTCGCCGCGAGCCGAGCCATATTTTGTCGGTTTCTGTGCCGTGCTCAAAGGCGCCTCAGTCCGAGCCGTGTGTTTAATGGAGACGGTCGCTAAAATTTCGAAAGCTATCGCCACCTTCCAACGTCATGTCCAATAGCAAGTGTTCACATCCATGTATAGTTCTATTGCGGTATAATTCTTTTATCCACCAGCGATGCTCCCTCTTTTGTATAGCTTTTTGTTGCCTCCTCTTTTATCTTCTTAATAATGGTTATTGCTATTAAAGCAGCAGCTACTCGACGCGCGTCTGGTGCCATCGCGTTTTGGCTTTTAACTGCGCAGTGCGCCGCCAGCGGATCAAGCTGAGGCGACACGCCTCGAGCTGATCCGTAGCCGTTGCCGCAGAGCGAGCAGCCTCAAACGGAGGCTATTTGCTTCAAGTCGAGGCCGCTCGACGCGAGGCTGGCTCTAGTGGATACGCAGCTGAGCGTGCCGCGGCAGCGGCCGGCGAAGCACCAGAAAAAAAAAAATTAAAAGACCTTTTTTTTTGAAAGTGAATAAATATTTCCGGCGACCGGAAATAGTGGGTGGCGATTCAATTCACTCCCCGCTCCCCTCCCCCCTCCATCGCAAACCCCAAAACGGGCGACTTATTTCTAAATTTTTACCAACTGGAGGCCGTGGCCAGCCAAGTTGAGCAAAAAATCGGTGCATCCTTTTTTCAAAACAATTCAGGCCATATTCAACCTTATATAACTTCATTATGGATAAAACTAGAAGCCTAATGTTTCAATAACCAAACAAGCATTTAGAAATCTCTCAGAGAAAATAAAACAGCATTTGGTAAACTTTAACAAATAAATTATAATAATACTATTTAATCCTTCTGATTCTCATCTTTGAGAAGCTGGTAAATGAAGGAGAAGTCTTTCTGGCCATATCCTCGGGACTGGACAATGCGGTACAGCTGTGTCGCAACGGCGCCCAACGGGATGGGTGACCGGATGCCGAGCGCCATGCCGCTGGCGAGCTCCAAGTCCTGGAATCAAATACAGAGTTGTTGTTTGACCATAAAGAATGGGTTGAATAATGATACAGAATATAAAAAAAAAACCTCGAACTCCTGCATGCTTCGGAAGGCACGTTAAGTCTGTAGTCCCGGCTGCATCTCACCATCAGCCTATTAATGTTCCCACTGCTGGGACACAGGCCTTCCCTATGGATGGAATAGGGAGATTGGGCCATGACCCACTACGCGGGCCCAGTGCGGATTGATGGGTGCTAACGACTGCAAATGCAGCCGGGACTAACGGCTCAATGTGCCATCTGAAGCCAATGACCGACCACTGCGAGAGTTGCGTAACTTCAACGATCGCAGCCGAACGCGCTAGCCACCTGCGCCATCGAGCTCCATGGGCTGCATCTGTCTGCAGTCATTAGCACCCACCAATCTGCACTGGGCCTGCATGGTGGGTCATGGCCCAATCTCCCTATTCAGGGAAGGGAAGGGAAGCCCTGTGCCTCAGCAATGGGGACATTAATAGGCTGATGATGACAAATGATACATTTCCAAATAACTGCTAGTGACTGTACTCGAGACACCAAACAAATTAAATGTCATTTAAAGTACCATTTGTCTTGTTCTATTGATACAAAAACAAAGAAAGCTGTTGCTTCAAACTTAAAACTTAATTGACATCTCCAAGTAGTAGAAGAAGTTTCTGTTGGACGGAGCGGTGGGCACCAGGCCATGTACCGTGCAGTACACCTCCGTGGACCACAAGCGGGCTGAGGAGGTATTCAGCACGTCCAGCAACACTTGAGGATGTAGGCCCATTCTTGAGATATGTTATAAATAAAATAAATATAAATATTTCCGACACTCACACCAATTAGCCTAGCCCCAAAGTAAGCACTGTAAGGTCTGTGTTATGAGATGCTAGGGTAACGGATAGAATACATATACCGTACATATATAAGTATATTTATATAAATACATATTAAACATCCGAGACTGGAGTACAAATGCTCGTATTCATCACACAAACATCTGCCCCCACTGGGATTCGAACCCGGGACCTCTCGAGTCGGCGACAGCCATGAAACCTGGCGTACAAACCACTCGCCCACGGAGGTCGTCAAGGTATGCTGCGTCAACTCTCACCTTGATCATGAGGTTCATTCTTGAAGCAGCCGTCGTAGTTCCTGCTGGACGGATCGGTGGGCATCAGTCTAGGCACAGGTCAGTATACCTTCGTAGACCAGAAATGAGCTAAGAAGTTGTTTAAGACAAACACTTGTGGATCTTTGGTCCCGGTGTGGTCCGCGTTTGAGATATGATATGCTGCGTCAACTCTCACCTTGTCGTTCTGGAAGCCTCCGTCGTAGGTCCTGCTAGACGGAGCGGTGGACACCAGCCCAGGCACGGGGCAGTACACCACCGAGGACCAAGAATGAGTTGAGTTGTTCAAGACATCCAGCAACACTTGAGGTTCTAAGTCCATTCTATAAGGTCGGCGTTTGAGATATGATATGCTGCGTCAACTCTCACCTTGACCATGAGCTCGTTCTTGAAGCCTCCGTCGTAGTTCCTGCTGGACGGAGCGGTGGGCACCAGTTCAGGCACGGGACAGTACACCACCGAGGACCAAGAACGAGCTGAGTTGTTCAAGACATCCAGCAAAACTTGAGGATCTAAGCCTATTCTATATGGTCCGCGTTTGAGATATGATATGCTGCGTCAACTGTCACCTTGACCATGAGCTCGTTCTTGAAGCCTCCATCGTAGTTCCTGCTGGATGGATCGATGGGCAGCAGTTCAGGCACGGGGCAGTACACCACCGAGGATCAAGAACGAGCTGAGTTGTTCAAGATATCCAGCAACACCTGAGGATCTAAGGCCATTCTATATGGTCCGCGTTTGAGATATGATATGCTGCGTCAATTCTCACCTTGACCATGAGCTCGTTCTTGAAGCCTCCATCGTAGTTTCTGCTGGACGGAGCGGTGGGCACCAGACCAGGTACGGGGCAGTACACTTCCGTGGACCAGGAACGAGCGGAGGAGTTGTTCAGGACATCCAGCAACACTTGAGGATCTAGACCCATTCTGTAACAAAAATAAACTTTAATCATGATCGTCAGCTTATTAATGCCCCCTCTGTACACAGGTCTTCCCTTTGGTTACATAAATCATCATTAGCAAGTTAATGTCCCCGCCGCCGGGGCACAAGCCTTCCCTATAGGTGGAAGACGGAGATTGGCCCATGACCCACTGTGTGAGTCCAGTGTGGACTTAAACATTAGAATTTCTAACGAATTTTTTAAGCAGTTGTCCTCAATCTATTGAGATTAAAATTTCGCATACAACTTTAGATGATAAGCTGAGCATGGCGATTTTGAAAATTTAATGTAGCGGATGGCCCATATTAGCGGACTAGTAAATTTATGTGCGGATATCATTTCTAATTCGTTGGCGGATAAGGGTGTGAAATGGGTTAGTTAAGAAAAAGCCGAATAAACTAACACTGGCATATAATTATTATTTAAATAAAAACTTGCTTTTCTAAGCACAATCTTTTATTTAAAGCAATTCAGGTCCTTTTCTTGTGAAAGTAATAAAACGCAGACAGACAGACATTCTGCCTTTTTGGACGTCAACCGATTCTTTTCAGTGGCGATGTTTATTTTTTGCATAATATTTTCGGGGGAATTTTATCTTCCCTTTTGTGTCTGCGAATTAAGTTTTTATTATTCATGGCCGGCTGTTTCTTCGCACTGATTGGATTAAGAGGCTTCACCAAGGCTTCAGAGACAACTTTATGAATCCCCATAATATGAAAACGAGGTTGAAATATAAGTACTTTTAATATAGAAAATAATACTGCTGAATTCGTTATAGTATTAACAAGGGCACAATGTTTTTTTTTTCTTGTCCCCTTGAATCGGGTTGATCGTCTGTCGTCCACCTAATGAAAGACTGCGCCATTTCTATATTTTCTTTTTCTAAACTGTAGTTTTAAGGCCATCGCTCATTAGAACCAGCCTGTGCCTAACCATCTCCATCATGACTTTTGTCGCACACTTAGGAGATTTATGAGGCATGACGAGAGTTAATTAAGCATAGTCATGGCACTCGGTCGATGTCCATAGGCAAAGAAGTGACAAAACTTATTTGGCGACAGAACTTTATAAAGACGTATAGTCTGACCGAAAATATCCATCATCATCATCATTAGCCTATTCATTGGCCCACTGCTGGGGTACAGGCCTTCCCTATAGCTGGAATAGGGAGATTGGGCCATGACTAATGTTGCCAGGTGTCCCGATTTGCGCGGGACATCCCGATTTTCAGGGACAGGACGCGTCCCGATTTGTACCTTATCGGGACGCTAAATGTCCCGATTAATCAAAGAACGAAAATAAGTAAGTTAATAAAATACTATACTTGCACTAGTAGTTTAAAACGCAATAAATAAACCCAGACCTAAAAACCCCTTTGTCTTTGTTTACTGTCCCGATCTGCAACCCTAATTCCCGATGTTTTTGACCTCATGTACCGATTTAAAACAAATCGGACCTGGCCACTGCCGGATTTAGGGGAGGGCAACCAGGGCGAAAGCCCTGGGGCCTCCACAAACGGAGGGCCCCCACAATAGAGACTTGGGAAAAAAAAATCTTTCAAATTCCAACTAGTAAACATCTTTTCCTGTGATATTTGTTTTTTGCTCTTTTACCTTTACCTACAGCCTACAGTACTTTGTACATCTAACGTACATAATTATTTGATTATATTAATCTCAGGGCCGAATTAAAGGCAGGGCAGGTGGGGCTGTGGCCCAGGGGCCTCCACAACAGCTTAAGAAATAACAAAATTTCGATGGGTCAACAATCATGCAAATCCTAAGTGGTCCGGGGCCTCTACAACAGGATAAAAGAAAACGAAATTTCGATGGGTTAACAAGCATACAAATCCTAAGTGGCCCGGGGCCTCCACAATCCTAAATCCGGCCCTGGACCTGGCAACACTAGCCATGACCCACCACGCAGACCTAGTGCGGATTGGAAGGTGCTAACGACTGCAGAAGTAGGGGCCAACAAAAGCACAGAGCTAGTAAATTTTTGGTCACCCATCCAATGACCGACCACAGCGAAAGTTGCTAAACTTCAACGATCACAACCGAACGCGCTAACCACTTGCGCCATCGAGCTCCTTATCGAGAATATTCGATGAAAGCAAATTAAAAATTTACTGCCAAAACATGGTATTCTATAAGATGAAGGTTATCTTCGAGACGAGCGCTCCTGTTAGTGCACTTTATCTATAATAGCGCGATTATACTTGGTCGTTAGCCCGAATACGCGTACTAAGGGAATTCGGGTAAAAGACTAAGTCTAAGGCCCGTATTACAGAATGACAACTAAGTGTTGATCTTTACTTAAGTACAGTTAGAAAGGGATGTCGCTATGTGCCATATATAGCGACATCCCTTTCTAACTATGCTCAAGACTAGATCAATTACTGAGAATCTTTCTATAATACGGGCCTAAATCAACGGAATCCAGTGCGTTTAAATAATAATAAATATTTCCAACACACACAGCAATTAGCCTAGCCCCAAAGTAAGCACTATAAGGCTTGTGTTACGGGATACTAGGGTAACGGATAGAATACATATACTTTACATATAAAAGTATATTTATATAGAAATACATTTTAAACATCCATGACTGGAGTACAAATGCACGTATTCATCACACAAACATCTGCCCCCACCGGCATTCGAACCCGGGACCTCTCGAGTTAGCGACACCATGACACCCGGTGTACAAACCACTCGGCCACGAAGGTATTCGGGTAGATTTATTTTAGTTTACCCAACACCGTCTTCCAGTGTAAATATTGCATCGGGCGCCCGAAAGACATTACTCGAAATGTCTTTCGTGCACCCGAATGCTAACGACCAAATTTAATAGCAGCATCAGTTTGAGGTATAGCACAAACTTATAGAAATTCAATAGACCTTCTGTAAAGAATAAAGGTCTTCCCGTCTGCTGCCTGGACCGCGTGGATTTTTTTCCAGTAAAATTTCTTTCGACTTTTAAGTGTCGCCGCACACGGGCCACCGACCACAACCACAAAACGCCGCCACCGGCATATATCTTGTATTTTTCATACATTTTATATGGACTCGCCACACACGGTACGCCGATGGCCGCCACACGCTACAAATCGTCGTTGCTCTCTTCTTGTGGCCCGCACCGGCCACTTTATGCGCCGATACAAAACGCCGCCACACGTCACTCGCGCGATTCCCCACTCCTCTCTCCCTTATCGCGCGCTTCAGCCACTTTAGTAGGCGCTTCTAGCTTCTCGTGGCGGCGTTTGTGGCTGTGGCGTGTGGCCCGGCGACACTAACATCTAGCAGTTAAATGCTTAAAAAAAAAATATCTTACTTGATTCCCATGTTCATACATTCAGCTGTGGCCATGCCGGTGATTCCCATGAGCATGTTGTTGGCAAGCTTGGCCACTTGTCCTGAGCCCACGTCTCCGCAGTGGAACTGTTTTGCTCCCATGGCTTTGAGCATGGGCAGCGACCTGGTAAAATCGTCCTTGCGACCACCTGCCATAAAGGCGAGAGTCGCGTTCTGTGCTCCCATCACACCTGGTAAAAAGTTAAATCTATATATATAAAACTCCAAGGTGACTGACTGACATAGTGATCTATCAACGCACAGCCCAAACCACTGGACGGATCGGGCTGAAATTTGGCATGCAGGTTGATGTTATGACGTAGGCATCATCCGCTAAGAAAGGATTTTGATCAATTCTACCCCCAAGGGAATAAAATAGGGAATGAAAGTTTGTATGAAACTTTGTCAATTTTAAACCGACTCTTCACCGAAGCGAAGCGAGGGCGGGCCGCTAGTCATCATATAGAGCCGTGCTTACACACACACAAACAAATTGATTTCATCACTAGCGTGTGTCCGCGACTTCATCAACACATGTTTCTGTACCGATTTAAGCATGAAGAGGTCACAGACAGACACACTTTATAATATTAGTATGGATCATCAAAAGTCGATATTTTAACATCCACTATTAGAAATATAGCTTCTCTTCACCAAATTTATTTAATGCTTCTTTAAGTCACGTATTGTGCCATTTTATTGACACGAAGAAGGTGACAGCATTAACTTTAGTTAGACTTTAAAGTGAATTGGCTTTTCTGAGTGCGGCCGTTAAGACTTGATATTTAACGGTAATCAAAGAGGAGACAGATATGATGCTGCAATCAAAATGCAGGTGAGATGAACAATAGAGTATTTTACAACAATAAATTATTATAAACAATTTACAACCATTTTTGAAAAGTGTCTCAATTAAATTCTAGAGAGCTAATATGTTATTAAAAAACCACAAAAAAATATAAATATACACGATATGATATGTAGATAGCTCATAATTTTATTAATAAAATTGTAACCTACAAAACATGTGACTTTTTTTTATTGGTAAAATTATTACAGTTTTTTTTTTCTTTCTCAATTCTAACTATCTGAACTCCTTTATCTTATAGTATATATATATATATATATATATATATATACTAGCTGACCCAGCGAACTTCGTACCGCCCTAAAAAAATAGGGGTTGTCCAGCGGACAAAATTGTGAATCTAAACCATTCTCAGATCCCCTTGAACACACACAAAAAATTTCATCAAAATCGGTCCAGTCGTTTAAGAGAAGTTCAGTGACATACACACTCACAGAAGAATTATATATATAAAGATATATTATATTATAGTGGATACTTTATTGATGTATGTTTTGTTAATTAGATCTAGGTATAAGTATTAATTCATTGTTTGTTTCCCAAATAAAGATAAAATAAAAATAAAATAACAATTTTATTCAATTATGATTTTATTTATTTTTTAAGCATTTAACTGCTAGATGTTTAAATCTAAAGAAAAGTTTACTAGAAAAAAATCCACGCGGACCAGGCAGCGGACGGGATTCGAACACGCATCCTTCGCTATCCGGGCGAATGCACTGACCATTATGCTACCACGGCCCTATTAGCCGCGTCGAAATTTCCTTAGCCTTAAGCTGCAAGGCAGCGCCATCTCTTCGCATTGTAGGTAACCCACAATGTCAAATGAATACTTTTTCAAATATTAAACATTTGAAAGAAGAAATAGCAATTATAGTTATGATTTTATTCATTTTTTAAACATTTAACTGCTAGATGTTAAAATCTAAAGAAAAGTTTACTAGAAAAAAATCCACGCGGACCAGGCAGCGGACGGGACTCGAACCCGCATCCTTCGCTATCCGGGCGAATGCACTGACCATTATGCTACCACGGCCCTATTATCATTTGACATTGTGGGTTACCTACAATGCGAAGAGATGGCGCTGCTTTGCAGCTTAAGGCTAAGAAAATTTCGACGCGGCTAATAGGGCCGTGGTAGCATAATGGTCAGTGCATTCGCCCGGATATCGAAGGATGCGGGTTCGAATTTTATTCAATCTTTAAGTGCCTTTGGTTAATCTTAAATATATTTTCATGAAATTCGCATTAAAAACGTTGATCAACGTTTCATTACGAACTTTGTTCTTAATTTCCGCCATTATAGTACCAACTAACTCAAGAGTTTTACGCCAAACGCCAGTAGTTACGGCCCGTACGAGTGCGTCAATTTATGAAAACTTTATAATGGCCGCAATTAGTCTTCCTTTTGTTCTCACAAACCACAGAACACGGAAAGAGGTCAGAAGGATGATCATAGACCGTTTGTACGGGAACCCATGTCGCCGGCACGCACGCGCTACTACACTTCCACATAAAATATAATAGCCAACAAATGACACGACATTAAAATAAAAAAGCGAGTGTGCTTATTACCAAACGACTGAAGTGAAACTTGTTTAGCTCCAATGATCTGAATATCATAAACTTAACGTGAAGATTTGTTGATAGAAAAAAAACCACCAATCCGCGCTGGGTCCGTTATTATCCACCAATCCGCACTGGGTCCGTTATTACCCACCAATACGCGCTTAGTCCGTTATCACCCACCAAGCACGAGATTCATATATTTTGTGACGAGTATAAATTGTTCAGTGTTTATCGGTGAGTCACCGTAACGCGCGTAACGCGTGCCTAAAGAAGTTTAACTTCAAAAGAACCAACCAGAGCTCACACCCGAGTACAACGAGGCAATCAGAGCCAAGTTTTGGTCAAGTTATGAGCATTTGCTCACACATAACTACGGCGCGTCTGCCCTGCCTACAAGCCCCTTCTAACCTCTTTCTGCGTTCTGTGTTACAAACGGAAGGTACAATCGACACACCGCCAATTAACACCTTGTACCGCAAAATAGGGTATTTGATAAGTTTTAGAAAACTATCTCACGTTATTGACTTGAGTGACGTTTATGAAGTCCTTAAAAAGTGGATATTCATCATTCTGTTGTGTATTTCAGTAAAAATAACCAAATCAAAAACTCCATTTTTAAGTTGCCGCGAAATTTCTCTGGCCAATATGGCGTCTTACTAGTGTGTGACGTCACGCGACTGTTATTAAAACGTCAAACAAGTCAAACGATACAATGTAATGTCACTTTAACCGGAAGTTTACTGCGTGTGACGTCATTTTAGGCTCCGCCAATCCCAAACGTTTTGGGTCACGTGACAATAGATAAGGAAACTATTATCATTTTCGTTAGTTTTTAGGAAAATTATGAATATTTTTTTCGTAAAAATAGTATAAACCCCTGCCAATATTCATTCTAAACACAGATGCCAATAATTGGCACTTTATTTTTAACACTGTCAAATACCCTATTTCGCAATTATTTCTACGTAATAAAGATGGCATCGATTTCAAGTTGTATCAATTGACGTGTCATCGACTGTACGTTACGCGCTTTTGTTCAACTTTGTGTTTGAGCAAGAAATGAAGTGATTTATATGCTCCACTTAAGCGAAATTAATTTCACTTCTTCCTGCTAAACTATTTCCTTAATTACCGACTATATATAAGACCCGCCCCGCCAATTCCGTGGGTTAGTTTCGAATGTATAATGTGATTCAAATAAGAATAGGAAAGCCAATGACCTCTATCTGTCAAATGTCGCTTGAAAAGTACGGTTTTCAAAAAAAAATCTTGGAACCCCTTTTTTAGCACTCGCTAATTCAAGAACAAAAACCAAACATTTGTAAACAAACAATAACAAATATTGATAATTAATATCGGTTGATATTTTTTTTCACTTATTGAGCTTTGGCCATGAATGGTTGATAACGTAAATCGTCAACCAAATGTCACTTTAGTTGCGTTCAGGAACTCGATTTCAAACTTTCGTTTACATAAAGGATGCAGGTTCGTATGTGACCTAGTAATAGTGCATGATTATTCATAACTACTCCGGCGGTAATGCAGAGATGAGCGGAGCTAGATTCTGATTAACGTTTTTTCTCACAGTCTTAATAAATAAATATTATTAAAATCGGTGTTTTTTTTTCTCAATCTTACTAAATTAATATTATTAAAAAATGTGATGCTTCTCCTCACTTAATCTTAGTAAATAAGTTTTATTAAATAAAAACTTTTTTTTGCTCACTCTACCTACTTGGTTTGAATTGACAGCAGCATTATAATTTGATAAGTCAAACTTTAATTTTTTACATTTGCTGAATTCGAGAAATAGCTATGTACTCTACTTTTCACGGCGGATAAAATCTTAAATGAGTCTCAATATGACGTAATTAATCTCTTTCCCAAGAATGTAATTAAAGAATTCGAGTAATTAAGTAAAAATTACATAATTAGGCCTCCTATTTTTTATACTCATTAAGTCGTTTATGACACACTTTGAATGATCACAGTGTCATCTTTACATAATATGTTTATTGCTACGATGTACCTCGTGTTTGCTGCAAGATAAAATCCTTAGATAACAAGTTGTTTTTGTATAGCGTACTCGCTATTTGAGGATTAAATGATAAGCTAGCAACTCGTGATTTTGCTGCTAAAGGACAGAGATATGAATGGGTCTTGAATGCTATCTCCCTACTTCGTGGGGATCTGCTCTATGTAAACAATATAAAAAGTAGCCAGAAGGACGATTCCCGACATTTGAGAATTACCGCTATTAATTTTGGCAACACTTAAAGCAAAAGGATTCTATTTGTTTCTTAGGTGTTCACGGACATCACTCATTAAATAAAACTAGTTTTAAGGGGTTAATGCACGAACTTTATTTATTTATTGACGTTTCGCAGCCTTTTCAGGTCTTCATCGTCAGAATAATGATTTTTTATTTACTTTGTCGAGCTACCATCGAAAGACTTTTATTGAGCGTTCGGATATTTCATTGGAAGATTTTTAAAACTTTATTTTTTTACAAACTCAGAGAGGCATTCTATCTCCTTACCTATATATCTAAGGAGATAGAAAGCCTCTCTGAGTTTGTTTCGCCGGTTCTTCTCAGAAAGGTCTCCCAATTTTGGAACCGGTGGTAGTTTGCGGTAGTTTTAGGGTCAAATTAATAAACTCAAAATTACAAAAAATAATTTTAGATAAAGTACTTCTTTATTATCTAAATTCATACATAGACAATAAAGTTTTAAAAATCTTCCAATGAAATATCCGAACGCTCAATAAAAGTCTTTCGAAGGTAGCTCATCAAAGTAAAAAAAAAAAAACTGACGATGCAGACCTGAAAAGGCTGTGAAACGTCAATAAATAAATAAAGTTCGTGCATTAACCCGTTAAAACTAGTTTTATGCAAAAGGATTCTGCTTGATACTGCGACGACGACAGCGGCTAACTAGAGCCGAGGTCCGAGTCTCAGCGACGCCCTCTAGTTGAGCCGCCCTAATCAGGTTCGAGTGGTCTAGAGGCTCCAGACGGAGAGGAGACTCCTCCCGTGGGAGATGCCATCCGCCTGGAATACCTCTAGAGGCACTCGCCAATTCTCGGTGTGAGGTCCCCTTAGGATCTCGCCGTCGCCAAACCAAGTGACGCTGTAAAGGTTATCTGCGACCAACAGCATACAAAAAGAGATGTCGCGCCGACAACGCACGGGTCCGCACAGGACACGTGATTTTTTCAAATTCGGGTGCAATGAGTCATAGCTTGAATAAAATTTGGGTCTTAATACATATCAATAAAAAACCGGCCGAGTGCATGTAGTGCCACGCGCAGTGTAGGGTTGCGTAGTTGCCTGTAGTTACAACAATATATTAAAGCAGAAGCCTTACCTCTAAAAGCTTTGAAGAGGTTTGCGAAAAAGTTTAAGTTATGCAATTAGCTTCTAACAAAACGATAACAAATCTTTCTTTGGATTTATAAATCTAGCAATTGGTTAATTCTAGGGGGTAGATAAAGAATGTTTCATATCAGCTACCGCTCACTGGGTAAAGATTGAATATTTACTTTACAATCCGTACTAGTCATTATTCTGTTTTTATTTATTTTTAAGCATTTGACTGCAGCAGACGGGACACGAACCCGCACCCTTCGCAATCCGGGCGAATGCACTGACTAATTATGCTACCACGGCCCTGATGGCCGCGTCGAAATTTTCCTAGCCTTAAGCTGCAAGGCAGCGCCATCTCTTCGCATTGTAGGTAACCTACAATGTCAAATGAATACTTTTTCAAGTATTAAACTTTTGAAAGAAGAAATAGCAATTATAGTTATGTTTTTATTTATACATCTACATTTATTACGAGGGTTCACATTTAAAGGAACTATGCTAGCGTAAACGAATTTCTAGACTAGAATCTATTTATTCCAAGTCCATTTCGTAGATTGGTTCCGAAAACTGGAGCGCTACAACATATTAACTTGTGAATTTTGAGCAGCAGCTAGTTTCAAAAGGCACTTTAAAAATTTCCCTGTTTTCGTATGCGACCTCTCACCTGCGCGATACAGGTCAAGTGACACGGAGCATACCTACATAGAGGATTACCAATCCGTTTTTAAAAAACAGTACCCCTAGCACGAACCAATATCGAATTCGAATCGTTTGCGAGTCCGAAATGTCATTGTCAAATGTGTAGGTACTGATTTTTGAAGTTATACTTCTTTAGGCGCGTTATGAAAAAATGATGAGAGTGAAATTTTAAGATGCGCGCGCATCACTGTAACACAAAATTTTAACCCCTTGTGTTTACCGCACATTAAGAAAATCTACCAACAAAATAGAAATAGAATTTCTATTTAGTGGGTGCTAACGGCTGCATTGTGAAGGCCTATCAAAAGTATTTATTAATCTGGAACAACGGAACCAAAGCGCGATTCAGGAGACTACAGCGCCATCTCTTGACCATTGGTGTAGTAGAACCAAAAACCACATCTTTAGTTTTTGTAATAAAGTAAGTTATAGGTATTCATCTTTATAATATTTATCCACATGTTTCTAGTTTGTATATTCGGAATACGTGTTTGAGTTTCATACAAGTGCAAATCATATATGTTCTAATAAATTATATTCAGTAGCGATTTTAATTGAATATTTTGATTATTTATTTATTTTTTCAAATTAAAACTGAACTTTATTGACTTCGTCCTTTTCCAGACTTTTTATTAATTTATTGTAATTAATTATTTGCATGCGATTAAAAACTAATTTTAAACGATGCCAAAGACGGATAACTTCTCACGCGCCTACATAAGTACACGCACCCATTTTTAGTTTTCGTTACGTACTTTGTGCCGCTGCTCAGTGACGGCGCTAGGCGTCGGCGACGTCGGCCACCGCCGACGGCCTCGCGCCTGAGGGGGCCTCGCAAAAATTTTTTACAAGTTACCTATTTATTTTCGTTTCTCCTGGCCTGGCTTAGGTAGCCGACCCCGAACAATTCGGGGAAAAAGATGATAATGACTTTTATTATTTTCTAACACGTGCGTGATGGAAGCGAGTAGTACTTTATGGGTATTCAGAATCGTCTGTCTGGCAACACTATTTTTGTAATTAAATTTCTATGTTTGTAATTATTTTTTGTCATCATTTGATTATCAACAATAAAACTCGTTTACTCATACGTTATTTTATAATTTGGCTCACTTATTTAACGGTATTTTACTGCGAAGTAAAATAGGCCTCGCGAACTTGATGTCGCCGACGTCCACATGTGGTCTAGTGCCGCCACTGCCGCTGCTGTTCAAGTTTTCATACAAAATTTGACATTGACATTTCGATTCGCAAGCTTTTCGAATACGATAATGATTCGTGCTAGGGTTACAGATACTTTTTGGGGTCCAACCTCTTCTTTAAAGTTATATAATCTCGGTCACTGACGTAAACTGTTTCTATACGTCGATGATCTCGGTAAAATGAATCTTCTATAGTTATTTATGTGGCCTAGTGGCCTGCCCTCGCTTCGCTTCGGTGTAGAGCTGTAGTGTAGACTATAGTTTTTGTTCTTAGGCTTGTATTATACACAATGAATTTCTTCATATATTATAAATCTTCCATGAAAATTTAATTAACTGATAGTGAATTTTTTTTTGCGTAGTTTAGGACCCGTTATATCGAATGCACCATTTTTTGGTAGGACGTGCAAATCTCAGGAACTAATGGTCCGATTTGGAAAAATCTTTTTATGTTTGATAGTGCATTCTTTGAGGAAGGCTTAATGCTAAATAATATTACGCTGCAATCACTAGGAGCAGAGTATCGATGTAAAATGTTGCGAAAACGGGAAAAAATATTCCATTTGGGAGATTCCGTTGAGTGCGCTGCGTAAATGATGTATGTCGGAAAAAATCAATAAAATCATGTATGAAAGAATGTTTCCTCTTTAAAAGTTCTATAAAAAAGTCCGGGACAGCATATACCCATCTTTTAAGTTTGACTCACTATAACCTTTTTCCTCAAACGCGAGTCAAACCGCAGGGGACCTTTAGTTGTGACATAACTGTTACAGTTAGACATATGAAATCGCGGACTTTTTTGTAGATATTTAAGTCCTCTATAAAACTTTAGTACATCACTTTGTTCTATTGTCAATGACTTCCGCAGTGTCAGCGATATAAGTTTATTTTTTTTGATAATTTTAATCTGACTGTGGATTTTCTAGGAGCTTGATGGCGCAAATGGTTGGCGCGTTCGGCTGCGATCGTTGAAGTTGAGCAACTTTCGCAGTGCTTGTTCATTGGATGGGTGACCGAAAATTTACAATCTAGAGCTCCTCCGTGCTTCGTAAGGCACGTCAATCCGTTGCTCCCGCCTACATTTGCAGTCATTAGCTCACCAATCCGCACTAGGCCCGCATGGTGGGTCATGGCTCATCTCCTTATTCCATCCATAGGGAATACCTGTGGTCCAGCAATGTGGACATTAATAGGCTGATGATGATAATGTGCTTTTTAATTGTTTCGGTGGCCACTAACTATTAGAGAGGAGCTCGATGGCGCAGGTGGTTAGCGCGTTTGGCTGCGATCGTTGTAGTTAAGAAACTTTCGCAGTGGTCGGTTATTGGATGGGTGACCGGAAATTTCTATCTCGAGTTCCTCCGTGCTTCGGAAGGCACGTTAAGCCGTTGGTCCCGGTTGCATCTGCAGTCGTTAGCACCCGCCAATCCGCACTGGGCCCGCGTGGTGAGTCACGGCCCAATCTCCCTATTCCATCCCTAGGGAAGGCCTGTGCCCCAGCAGTGGGGACATTAAGAGGCTGATGATGATGATGATAACTATTAGAACGATTTAATTTCAACTGATGGGGGTCTATGAACTTTTCTTCCATTTATCTTAATTATCAATTTGATTAGCATCTTTGCTGTAGTGAGTCTTCTCCACAAGTGGGTCCATATTGTAGACGCGCAAGCCGGATGTTAGGCAGCAAGTGAAGCAGCCTTGATCCTGGTTAAAATCCAGGCTCGTGATACCGCTGCTCCTCTGCCGCGCCATATCTTCTTAGCCGTGAATTTATCATAAACAATGAGTTGCTTTTTTATGAATTGTCTCCGTGGTCATTTTCACACCAATAATTTTAATACGCACATTTATTTAGTACATGTTCCCTGTGTGTGATACACAGCTGATTTGACCGAATGCGGATGAGTGGAAGAAAAGTTCTCAATCCTCCATTGATGAAGATTATTTGAATAAGCCTTTTTAAATAAAATGGAGGAGCTCGATGGCGCAAGTGGTTAGCGCGTTCGGCTGCGATCGTTGAAGTTAAGCAACTTTCGCAGTGGTCGGTCATTGGATGGGTGACCAAAAATTTAATAACATGAGCTCCTCCGTGCTTCGGAAGGCACGTTAAGCCGTTGGTCCCGGCTGCATCTGCAGTCGTTAGCACCCACCAATCCGCACTGCCCCCGCGTGGTGGGTCATGGCCCAATCTCCCTATTCCATCCATAGGGAAGGTCTGTGCCCCAGCAGTGGGGACATTAATAGGCTGATGATGATGAAATAAAATGGCGGCAAAATCACTCCATTGTGGGCTATTTTCATAAACATTATGTATAATAATTTTCATACTCACCTCCCGAAACGGGTGCGTCTATGAAGCCTACTCCACTGTCCGTGGCGACGGGGAATATTTTTTTGGGTACATTAGGGTCTACTGTGCTGGAGTCGATCAGGAGAGCTCCTTTGGGTGCCTGGAAATAAAAAAGAACATATTTAAGACCAGGACTTGTAACCGGTTTTGAAAATACCGGTAAATAAAGGTTAATACCGGTTTTAGTAAAGGTTTCGTTCGGAGCGCGTTCCAAATGAAAGCGATACTTAAACCCTTAATAAACCGGTTTAATCCAGAGTGACACGAGCACGCGTCGGCATCGCTTGAAGTTTGTTTTCTTTGAACTAATCAAGTCACAACTTGTTAATGCTCAGAGATTGATGCATTTATTGACACGTTTGCTAGCGTTCTAGTGAGTCAAGTTATTCATTTTGAAGTTGTGTACTGTGATGCTAAGTGTCCTTTAATGACACTTAGCTGAAGTAATCTAGACTACTCACATGAGCCACCACGCCGTCCTTCTCTAGGTAGACGTTCAACACGAACTGCCGGTATATTCGCAAATTTTTTTTTTACTTTTACAGTGACATTACAGAGAAAAATACATATACATTGTGGCGGAGACATCTATATGCCCCACATATATACAAAGGATGGAGGAAATCATTACTGACCATCCTCAAGAGATGGCGTTACCTGCACTGCGATCAATATTAGTATGGAAGCCTACATCGCGCAAATGAAATTCGGAGGCTAACTCTTCATATATACGATGCCCGACGAACATCAATTGGGCCGCGGCCCCCGAGCTACCATCACCCAGCTCGGAGGAAGATCTTCCCCTTTGGCCTTCCTACAACATCAATACTTTTCAGAACAAGTATCACTAAATGGCCAAATGATTATTACTTCCATCTCTCAGAAGCAGTTAGTGAATAGGCCTACTGGTTGCTGGGCTGGACGAAGATTCCTTCCTTTAATGACACTTAGCTGGAGTAATCTAGACTACTCACATGAGCCACTACGCCGTCCTTCCCTAGGTAGGCGTCCAGCACGACTTGGTTGCTCGGGAGAATGGAGACGACTGCGTCCACACCGTCGACTGCCTCCGCTATGGAGCTGGCGCCACTGATTCCGTTCTTGGCGGCGTTCGACACTGCCTCCTTTGAAGGGTCATAACCACGAACTGTGAAGCCCTAAAGACAAACGAAAAGGAAATTTCGTAAAGTACTCAAATAATCTTTGAAGGGTCATTCATAATGCACGCACTGTGTAACCCTATGGAGAATGTTAAGGAAATTTAGTATTTTTTTTTATTCTATGAAATTCTCTAGGCGAATCTAGGTTTCGGATTTAACTGCTGTATTCATTTGGGAAGAAACTGCATCGAGCGTAACAAAAAAAAGTGTTTCAAAACCACGCATTTGCGCAATATGTGACCAACTCTGTATAAAAGAACCCTCCGAGGACTTTTTTTTTGACACACACCAATTAGCCTAGCCCCAAAGTAAGCACTGTAATGCTTGTGTTATGGGATGCTAGGGTAACGGATAGAATACATAATTATACTGTACATATATATGTAAATAGACATACATATTAAACATCCATGACTAGAGTACAAATGCTCGTATTCATCACACAAACATCTGCCCCCACCGGGATTCGAACCTGGGACCTCTCGAGTCGGCGAACAACGAAACCCGGCGTACAAACCACTCGGCCACGGAGGTCGTCAGTGAATCGAAGTTGGTAAAAACCGTCAGGCAAACTCCTTAAGCTTGTTAAAAATTTGGGGTAACAAAGAAACAATACCATTTATCTTCGTAACATTCGATTTAATAAACATTAAGCAATTAATTAAGAAAAAATCCTTGACGATTCGTACCTTGAAGTATCCCAAGCTCAAGAAACAATTTAGCTGAACTTATCAAAACTCAAAGAGAAACTTTTTTTTCATATTAATCCTGCTTCCCCGGTCGCAATGGTGAAGGTACAAATCAAAATCAAGCAATCTTTTTCTTTCGCCCTAATCTAAATTTAAATACAACAGATCCAATTTCGGAGGCGCTAGATTAAATAACGGAAAATCTGCCCGCCACCGAAAAGAGATTAATAATAAAGTAAAAGAGAAAAAAACTGCCGAAAGATTTTTTTTAATCCAACTTCGCCATTTTCAATGGTGAAGTAAGTTATTCAACGTGTTTTACTGGTAGACCCTTGCCGACCTTAAAATATTTCATGCAAAAAGCATCCATCTACATAATTTAGCATAATCTCTGAATAAAATGGGAAAAGATTTCAATTTTAAATTTCTCAAATGTAGCGTACCATAAAATAATGTCCATTTTTATTATCTTCAGTAATTCATTAGAATAAGGAATTCGTAATTCATGTTCTTAGATATTTTTGTAGAGACATCCTTCTCCTGGCGAAAATTTGATCAACATATTTTAAAAAAAAAAACAATTCATCTAAATTCTAAAGAAAATTTTACTAGAAAAAAAAAACACGAGCTACCGCGGCCCTAATGGTCAGTGCATCCGCCCGGATAGCGGAGGATGCGGGTTCGAGTCCCGGCTGCTGCCTGGTGGATTTTTTTCTAGTAAAATTTTCTTAAGTTTTAAAAATAAATTAAAGCAGCAGTTAGATGCTCAATAAAAATATGACTAAGATTCATATTTTCCTAAATTATTATTACCATCTCATAAATCCTTTCTTGTGTCATTAGTGGTGTACCTACTGAATAATTGATAAAAAATATCAGATCTCTTTTTTCTTTGAAATAAATTTTCTGTCGCCTCATTCCGAAGTATTTATTTAATTCTTGTTACATTTTTTAAATATTTTTGCAATTGAAATGCTACTTTGGATTTACACTGAATGAAGGAGATTACATTGTTCCGTAAATACAGATAAGGTTTAAAAAAAATGTAAAATCGTTAAATTCAGCGCTCCAACAAACAAACACAAAATGCAAACGTTTTTAAAACAAATGTAAATCAGGCGTTAGTACCTAAATACATAGGAACTTAAATATCCCAGAACTTCTTATATCACCATTATTTTTTTGTACATAAAGCTTTCTAATAGGTGTGTCACAATGTGTGTCTAAATTGCTGATGGGTAAATATTAATTGAATAATTTAAGCCAGCGGACGGGACTCGAACCCGCACCCTTCGCAATCCGATATCAATTATTAAAATTCAATATTTTTTTCTAGTAAAACTTTTCTTTAGATTTAAACATCTAGCAGTTAAATGCTTAAAAAAATAAAATCATAACTATAATTGCTATCCTTTCAAATGTTTAGTACTTGAAAAAGTATTCATTTGACATTGTGGGTTACCTACAATGCGAAGAGATGCCGCTGCCTTGCAGCTTAAAGCTAGGCAAATTTCGACGCGGCCATCAGGGCCGTGGTAGCATAATTGGTCAGTGCATTCGCCCGGATTGCGAAGGGTGCGGGTTCGAGTCCCTAAAATAAAGACATAACTAAATATTTCAATATTAATCTTAATACTAAAAATGTAATAATAACTGTAATAATGAACCATTTTTGGTGAAGTTATAATAAGAACATATATAATAGTTATATTAACAATAATAATTTAATAATTTATTTGAATTACATATTAAACATCAGTATCGTTTCACGTTACGCGCTTTCTAGACAGAACTGAAAACCAGTGCTTTGCTCTCAGAGCAAAGGTATCGCTGAGTTTTTGCCTTTTTCTGTAGTTGCGGCACACAGTTACATATTTAGTAATAAATTCTTCTATTTCTTTACTTGAATTTGTGTGCTGTACTGATGGGAATAAATGAAATTCATCTATCTATAAAGACATATACGATAAGTTGATGATATAAAACTAACTATTTAATCATTAATGATTTTGCCTAGAGATCCTAACATGAACATACACCTAAATGTTTCAAAATAGTAACATTCTCTCCTACGTCACTTTATCCTACATTGATCCTATCAGAGTCTGTATCGGAGACTTCGATTTTATTTTATTTGAACCAGTAAGACTTCCTGGTATACTTAGTATACAGCCAGTAAAGAGATTTTATCCGATTTATCTAATTTGTGTTCCAAAGATCCTAAGTTCCGTATTCAAATCATGTATTGACATAATCACAGAAAACTTCATGCGTAAGTACAATTTTAAAGAAATTAGTGTAAAAATATTTAGAGATTACTTATTTTGAATGCTGCTGACACCGTTGACACATAGAGACTAAAGAGCAAGATGTAATCTGCTTTATGCATGAGAGTGAAAGAGACAACTTTAGTGCGCTCTATTGGCGGCTGTTGCCAAGGGAAGTTGGAGCGGGGACTACTTGCCATTTTAAAACATAATAATGTTGGCGTAAAACTTGTCTATATATTATACGTCATTGGACGAAATGAAATTTCATTTGAACTTCGTTGGTTACCATAGTTCGTTTCGGAGTAACAGAATATACCCCCAGTCCAAGGTCTGTACCCCTAGCATCAACCAATATCGAATTCGTATCGTTTGCGAGTCCGAAATGTCATTGTCACATGTGTACTGTGTTTTAGTTCTCGATACGTACTTTGTGCCGCTGCTGTTCAAGTTCCCATACAAAATTTGACGTTGACATTTCGGTTTGCAAACTATTCGAATTCGATAATGGTTCGTGCTAGGGGTACTGTTCTGTGGGTGTGAAAGTGTTTACTTCACATATGAATTTATGTAATAACACAAATTCTTTTGTACTGCTTGTCTTATGTAACTCTTTAAAACTCCCCAAATGACGAGAATACTCCAAACGTTATGTAATCAAGGCCAATATATTATCTAAGATAAACAGTTAGTTGGAACTGATATCGTGTGATAGCTTGATTGGGGGGCGCGGATGGGTGTGTATCTTGTTACTGTGTGTGTGATGTTCGCACACGAACAAAGAAGACACGGACACAAAGCGTCATACAACTGGCCATGTACACTGGCAGCCTGTCGCATATTTTTTTTTGGAGTTTACATATATAAAGGGCCCGGTATGAGAAAAATGTGAGGAGCAAAATCTATCGATGAATGACATTAATGACCTCGTTACGTTTTTGTGCGCAACCTCATCTGCGCACCTTTCACTTTTAGCCATGGCAACGGATAAAAAACATTAAGTTGTCACAAATGTCAATAAAATAAATAAACTAAAAATAGATAAAATCGGAGCAAAATTAATGAAAACAAATAAATAACAGAATATAGAGAAATGGCGGTAAGTGTCCAGCACTCTGGAATAGTGATTTTCAGTAAAGATGGAATTATAATACATATTAACAAAATGATGACTAGCGTGTGATATTTTTGAAATTGTGTGTTTCCAGAAATACATAATAAAATATATGATGAATATCGCTGATGTTAGATGATAAAATGTGTGACATGGAACCTATGATAGTCGAAACCATGGGACGATTCCTGAGGTATCTCTACTTGTAACCGACTTCTTCGGACTTGATTTTGTTTTGTGTCTGTTCAAAGACAATCGTTTTTAGAGTGTAAACTCCGGTCGTGCGTCGGAGCTGACACACACAATTTTTTTTGTTTCCTCCCAGGCGCGGAAGCGGGTGAGAAATCCTCATGGATACCCTACAGCTAGCTGCAAGGTTATGTCAGACTCGTACTGACTAAAAAACACCCGTAGGGGCTGCCTCTGGCCGGGAAGGCCTCTAAGGCTTCATCGGAAGCGATCGTCCCCCAGTGAGGAGCGACGCAGCCTGTTGCATACGCAGAGAAACGCTTTTATAAGCGGCAATAGGCCACCAGATGCATTAAGCTTTCCCTATCTTCCTTTTTTATTTAAAAAGGTTGACAAACAAGCGTATGGCTCACTCGATGGTAAGCGGCCATCATAGCCAATAGACGCTTGCGATGCCATAAATATCACTCGCGATCATCATCATCATCAGACTATTAATGTCCGCACTGCTGGGGCACAGGCCTTCTTTACTACCTACTTCCTTATATGGATGGAATAGAGAGAGATTGGCCCATGACCCACCACGCGAGCCCAGTGCGTATTGGCGGGTACTAACGACTGCAGATATAGCCGGGACCAACGGCTTAACGTGCCGTCCGAGGCACGGAGGAGCTCGAGATAGTAAATAATTGGTCACCCATCCAATGACCGACTACTGCGAAAGTTGCTTAACTGCAG